ATTCTAAGAACTGGTATTGTTTACAAAGACCCTGAGGCAGGCACAAGTTTGGTGAGTTCAAGGAATAAGCAATACTAGTATGGCTGAAGCACATACTAGTGAGCAAAGGAAATATCTGCAGGGATAAAAGATCAGGGAAGTTAGTTGAGGTTCAGATCATACAGGCCATGGAGAGGTCTCATAGGCCATTGCAAAGATTTTGTGTTTTATTCTAAATGAGTTAGAGTGCCCTTGGAGGGTTTGATCAGAGTAATGACATTATTTGACTTGTTTTTATTAAAGCTCCCCCAGGATGCTATGTTAAAAAATAGACTATAAGAGAGCAAGAGTAGAAGCAGGGAACAGTAGCAGGTGAGAGATAGATGGTTTCAGTGGATATCTGGGAAGTAGTGAAGATATTTTAACTGAAACTGATGAACTAAATGTAGGTTATGACAGAATAGAGGATTAATGCAGGTTTTTGGATAGAGCACTTAGAGCTGCTATTTACTGACATGAGTGATGAATAGATTTGGAGGAAGAAATCAAGAGTACTGTTTTGGACAAAATTGTGAGATTCCTGGTTGCTATCCGAGTGCAAAAATCAAGTAGGAATCAGATAGGAAAGAACAAATTCCCAAACAGAAGTATGAAATATGATAATCTGGAGTTCAGGGAAGAGAAAGGAGTTTGGTGCAGAAAGTCTGATTCTTGCTCTTTTGTAGATGATCTACCATCTCTTTCTGAAAACACTTTGAATCACTGTAACATGTCAAGATACATTTTCTCCCTGAAAATAACTTTAGTCGCAGTATTTGACTAAAATCCCCTATCCAACTTAAGTTTTAACCCTAGATTTTAGAAGACAGAATAACCAAATGTCAAAGCCAATGTGATTTGAGTATCCTTGGACTAGTGCAATCACGTAAGTCACTATTATCTTTAATGAGTAGAGCAAGTATGATGAGCAAGAGATAACATTCAGAGTTCTAGGTAATATATGGACGATTACTCTCAAACAGAAGCCCTTTAATGAGGTGAGAAATCTTATATGTGCATGTTGAAATTGCATCAGTTAACAGATTTATTGCAAAAATAAAATGGATGATGTCGATAGAAGCTAGACACTTCTACTTCTTTACTAGTAAAGACACTACTCTGTAGTAGTCTTTAATTACAATTAAAAAAAATTTCTCAAGGAGGGGAAGTTCAAACCTGCAGAAAAGTTGAGGAAAAAAAAATAAAGCTCTTCAACCATATCTTCATCTAGATTCACCAGTTGTTACTATTTGCTGCAATTGCCTTATGACTTTTCATGCACTTACACATTTTCTGAACAATTTAAGTTACAAACATCATGACACTTTTCCCTAAACACTTTAGCACATCTCCCTTAAAGACATTCTCCTATATAATTACATACCATTATTACACTCAACAAATTTAATACTGACTTAATATTAAGTATATGCAATCCATACTCAAATTTCTCCAATTATCAAAAAATATCCTGTATATAGCTGTTAGTTTCCTATGGCCTAATTGGAAAGTCTTTGCAGTTGTAACAAATTACAGTTGACCATTGAACAACAATGGATTGGGGGCACTGACACTTGAGCAAATTTGCATATGGGGATCCCTGGGTGGCACAGCGGTTTGGCGCCTGCCTTTGGCCCAGGGCGCGATCCTGGAGACCCGGGATCGAATCCCACGTCGGGCTCCCGGTGCATGGAGCCTGCTTCTCCCTCTGCCTATGTCTCTGCCTCTCTCTCTCTCTCACTGTGTGACTATCATAAAATAAATAAATAAAAATTTAAAAAAAATTAAAATTTGCATATGAGTTTTTGCCTTATAAGGTAATGTTCCCAGATTCTAGGGATTTAGATGTGGACATATTTGGAGGCCATATTCAGCATATCACAGCTGTTGACTACTGTTACGGGTTGAATTTTGTTCTATAAAAAGATATGTTAGGGATGCCTGGGTAGCTCAGCAGCTTAGTGCCTGCCTTTAGCCCAGGGTGTGCTCCTAGGGTCCCTGGGATCGAGTCCCACATCAGGCTCCCTGCACAGAGCCTGCTTCTCCTTCTGCTTGTGTCTCTTCCTGTCTCTCTTCTCTCATGAATAAATAAAGTTTAAAAAATTTTAAAAAGAAAATAAAAAGATATGTTGAAATCTCACTCCCAAGTGACTTAGAATGTAGCCTTATTTGGAAATAGGGTCTTTGCAGAGATGTACAGACATACATACCTCTGAGATCCTGTGGGTTAGGTTCCAGACCACTGCAAGTAAATCAAGTCAAATGAAATTTTTGGTTACCCAGTGCATATAAAAGTTATGTTTATATTTTATTAAGTGTGCAATAGCATTATGTCAAAAAACTCCAATATGTATACCCAGGCGCCACGTTTAAATTTTTAAACGAAATCTCAGATTTCCTTAAATCCCCAGACATTCCTTCTTGATAGTAATAATAATCTCTGGTCCTGGTGAAATATTGATCTTAACACTTGAAGACAGTCCAAATGTCCACTTGGAGTACCTCTATTTTTTTATCTACCTTATTTGGCCTCTTTGAGATCTTTCAGGACAAAAGGTCTATCATCTTTTATGTTGGGAAATTATTGTTTTTCAAATATTGAAGAATCAAACTAGTTTAAATAAAAGTATGTCAGACAAATGGCCTTAACTGGATGTCTGGCAGTTCAGCAGGGCTTTGCGGTTGGATGACTCCCATCAGTGGTTCCGTTTTCTGATTCTCCCCTAACATGTACCGTCCTCTGTAATTATTCTTTGCCTTCACACAGAGAACACCATCTTTCCTGGTTCTTCAAAGCAAAGAAACTTCTTTCCCAAAAGATAAAAGCACTCTATATTTCCTTACTTAGTTACTTCAATTTCTAAAATGTGTATGCTAATTAGATTGGTCCAGATTCCTGAACTAATCAATGCGCAAAGGGGTTTGGAATTACATTTAAATCAATCAGGACAACCCTGTAAGATCCGTTTTCTGGAAAGCACACGTGACAGTGGTTCTCAAATTTGCCTGCCCATCAGAATTACCTGTAGGGTTTTTTCAAAAGTGCAGACTGCTCCCCAAAACACTTAAATCAGAATTTCTGGAGGTGGCATCCAAGTATGAGTATTTTTTAAAGTTCTCCGGGTGATTACAATGGACAAGTTTGAGAGACACATAAGGGATTAAGTGGATTCCTTAATGAAAATCAGGATACTATTAGAAAAACAGAAGGAGAAAAGTAAATGCTACAGTCAGTAATATATATTATAGGACTATCAGCTGTACCTCATGACAAACACATAAGAAATAAAGTCTTGAATACTTGAAGGAAACGTAAGGATAAATTGTCTGTTACTTTAAGGGTAAGCCTTCATCCCCACTGCTGTGTGTGTGTGTGTGTTCTTTTCATTGAGCTCTACATGCCAGCTCTCAAATTGCCAACTCCATATGTCCACCTGAATATCAAAAAGCTTTTCAAATTTAAATCAGAATTCTGGATCACTCTTCAATGCCCCAACCCCATACCTCCTCCCAGTACTACATCCTGATTAACAGCACCAATTGTTCAAGGGCACCTGGGTGGCTCAGTACGTTAAGTGGCTGACTCCATTTCAGCTCAGAATCTGAGTCTTGGGATCAGCCCTGCCTCAGGCTCCCGGCTCAGCAGTGTGCTTGAGATTCTCTCCCTTACTATTTTCCTCCTGCCCCCAACTCTCTAATAAACAAATCCTAAAAAACAAAGATCACAGCACCAGGTTTTCAAACAAAAAGTTATGGGTTTTGCTTTTAATCTTATTCCTCAGCAAAACCTGCAAAATATAATCCTAATTCAACATATCTAACCATCACATTATCGCTGTATTCAAATCTAAAATTTCTAGACTTCTTAGTGGCTCTCACATTTCAGCATTCATCAGAATCACCCAGCAGATCATATTACTGAGGACTGAAATTTTCACTTTTTAAAAAAGTATTTGAGAGCACAAGCAGGGGGAGCAGCAGAGGGAGAGGGAGAAGCAGGCTCTCTGCTGACCCCGGATGCTCTGAACTGAAGGCATCCTAACTGATTGAGCCACCCATGCCCTCGTGAAATTTTCACTTAATAAATTCTCAGGTAATGCTAAGGCTGCCGATCTGGAGATTAGACTTCAGGATCTATGACAACCCAGGATCTATGATCCACTAAGCAATCAGAGTAATGTTTAAGGTTAATGACGTCATATTATGCACATCCCTGCCTAAAACAATCCAAGAGTTCCCCAAAAAACAAGAACGGTCAAGCCAATGAACCTCCTTTTCACTTTCCCACCCATATGGGGCTTTCTGTTCCTCTAGCATTTCACACTCTTTCCTGCTTACAAAGTTACCCATATATTGTTCCCATTGTGAAAATAGCCTTTAAATCGGATACATTTTCCTGAGTAGCAATTAATGGAAGAAATCACTATTACCACATATTAAAGAGATTTTGTGGGATTTGGTTAACAGAGGCAGAGAGAAGGCATTAAGGATTAAAACCCCAAAATCAGCTTCGATTTTCCTAAAGGAAGGATTTTCATATAGATGATATACAGGCAGGTGCCGGTTAATCGAGGAAATGTACTCGATTTGTTGGAACCAAATGCAAAGTTATCACTTTTTTGGATACACATTGGTGCAAGATTTAAGAACCACCACCATTTTACCACTGGGAATACCATACGAGTGGTTTTATCCCGAAAGCTTTATCTTGCAGAAGTTAATCAACACCGCCTTTCTCAGTTGGCAGTAGTGTACATGTTCACCGGTACGCAGCATAGCCAAAGCCAGTTTCAGAAACAATCATCTCGGACAACCACAACATAACCTACACCCCATTAAGTTTTTCACCCATAACAAACTATTCCGCCGGCAAACTGAAAAAAAAAGAGACAGATATTTGAAGTTAACAAGCATATATTTAACGTACTGGAAGAGAAACCCAAGAACTAAAGTAGGAACACCTTCACAAAGTACGTGAACAGCTCCTTTCGGCGAGAACGTGGGTGGCTCTGAAAAGAGCCTTTGGAGTCAGGCGGCCGGCGACCCCGGCGGGCGCCGCGTCCCGGCAGGGACTCACTTGGAGCTGGTGTACTTGGTGACGGCCTTGGTGCCCTCGGACACGGCGTGCTTGGCCAGCTCGCCGGGCAGCAGCAGGCGCACGGCCGTCTGGATCTCCCGGGAGGTGATGGTGGAGCGCTTGTTGTAATGCGCCAGGCGGGAAGCCTCGCCGGCGATGCGCTCGAAGATGTCGTTGACGAACGAGTTCATGATGCCCATGGCCTTGGACGAGATGCCGGTGTCGGGGTGCACCTGCTTCAGCACCTTGTACACGTAGATGGAGTAGCTCTCCTTGCGGCTGCGCTTGCGCTTCTTGCCGTCCTTCTTCTGGGCTTTGGTGACCGCTTTCTTGGAGCCCTTCTTGGGCGCGGGAGCGGATTTCGCCGGCTCGGGCATGGCGGGAAGCACAAGCAAACGGCGGGCACACGGGAGAAGGGACGCCGCCACCACGGTCAGGCCCAGGCTACCGGAAGCGCCTCGGTACTTAAAGAGGCCGTAGGCAAATTAAGGTTCTGCTTACGCCGCGTCGTGATTCGCGAGTTTTCAGCGGCGCTCCAGCGAGGGGGACGAGATTATGTAAATGAACGGATGCTGGCTGAGCCACCCTATTGGTCGAACGGACAAAGCTCTGCTTTAGCCAATCGCAGTGCTCCGCAGACAATCCCGGTTCTGCCTATAAAAGGGTGAAGTGGCGGGCTTTACGGCGACTTTCTCGGTCGTCGAGCGGGAGGTGTTTGCAGTGAGCGTCGCTGTCATGTCAGGTCGTGGCAAGCAAGGAGGCAAGGCCCGCGCTAAGGCTAAGTCGCGCTCGTCCCGCGCCGGCCTGCAGTTCCCAGTGGGCCGGGTGCACCGGCTGCTGCGCAAGGGCAACTATGCCGAGCGGGTGGGGGCCGGCGCTCCCGTCTACATGGCGGCCGTGCTGGAGTATCTGACGGCCGAGATTCTGGAGCTGGCGGGCAACGCGGCCCGCGACAACAAGAAGACGCGCATCATCCCCCGCCACCTGCAGCTGGCCATCCGCAACGACGAGGAGCTCAACAAGCTGCTGGGCAAGGTCACCATCGCCCAGGGCGGCGTCCTGCCCAACATCCAGGCCGTGTTGCTCCCTAAGAAGACGGAGAGCCACCATAAGGCGAAGGGCAAGTGAGGCCGGCGTCCGGAAGCCCAGCCAGCCCTGGTCTCGAAGGGGACCCCTGTGAAATCAAAAGGCTCTTTTAAGAGCCACCCACTCTATCAAATAAAAGGAGTTGTATACAGGGTACAGTAGGCGGTCTTGCTCCGCTCCACCTCTGCCAGTAGTGTGCGGAGGCCCAAGGCGGGGGGGGGGGGGGGGGGGAGGGGAGAGGGGTTGGGGTTGTCCCTCAACCGTTCCTCGACCCCGAGCCTTGGGCGCTCGGCCATCTTGACCTGGTCTGGTGGGTCGTGGACCTTAGGACTTGGTGGCGCAGCTGGGGGGGCCCGGACCCCCAGGGCGCAGCCACGTTCGACTCTGTCCTAAGAACTGAGAAGGCGGTCCCCGACTCTTGCCTCGCGCGCAGCTCCCGGGTTCCCGAGGCCCGCGCCCCCGCCCCCACGCGCACGTGCACTCCCGGCCGGCAGGGCAGCGGGCAGTTTCCGGGAGTGAGTGGCGGGCCGGGTCCTCGGCTTAACTGAGCCGGCTTACTCCGGCAAGACTGGGTACTAGTCCCCGCGTAGGTTTCTCGAGGCGGGGCCTTGCGCTCGGCAGGCGGTGGGGTGTGATGGGACAACTTTCGGACCCGAAGAGCACCGACAGGCGGGAAAAAAGATCCGCCCGACCACCGACGGGGTTCCTAGAAGGTGACCGGGCGATGTGGGGGGGACGGGACGTAAAGGCAAGATTGAGGCTGAGTTGGGGAGACCGCGTGGGAAGGAAGGGGGGGTACCGTGTTCTAAAGGGGGCGAAGGGCTGAGGAGGAACATTCGGACACGGTGGCGATCAAAGATGACCCCCCCCTCCCCCGCCCGCGGAAAAGAAAGGAAAAACAAGCTAGGGAAGACCGTTGGCAACCTGGAGAGTAGAGAGCGAGGCGGGTGGGCGGGGCTAGGGGGATCCGCCCAGGCCAATCGGTGGCGCCGGGGAGGGTGACGTCGCGGCCAATGGACAGCCAGCGCGGGACTTTCAATTATTGCCCCGCCCAATCGGAGAGAGACGGTGCCTATAAAGACCGCTGCGGCGGGCCGGGGCCCCGTTACTCTCCCCGCCGCTTCGCCATGGCTCGTACGAAACAGACCGCCCGCAAGTCGACCGGCGGCAAGGCCCCGCGCAAGCAGCTGGCCACCAAGGCGGCCCGCAAGAGCGCGCCCGCCACGGGCGGCGTCAAGAAGCCGCACCGCTACCGGCCGGGCACGGTGGCCCTGCGCGAGATCCGGCGCTACCAGAAGTCCACCGAGCTGCTGATCCGCAAGCTGCCGTTCCAGCGGCTGGTGCGCGAGATCGCGCAGGACTTCAAGACGGATCTGCGCTTCCAGAGCTCGGCCGTCATGGCGCTGCAGGAGGCGAGCGAGGCCTACCTGGTGGGGCTCTTCGAGGACACCAACCTGTGCGCCATCCACGCCAAGCGCGTCACCATCATGCCCAAGGACATCCAGCTGGCGCGCCGCATCCGCGGGGAGCGGGCTTGAGTGAGCGCTCGGCTCGAGGTTCCATCCTATCCAAAGGCTCTTTTCAGAGCCACCCACGACGGCACTCGGAAGTAGCTGTGCCACTTCACCTCCGCCTCCTGCTCCGGGAGGGTGGGGCGGTAGGGCCGGGGGTCTCCCGACCGGTAGCGCGGAGACCGCGGGTCTGATCCCGGGCGCCGCGTCGGCGGCCAGGACGCCCTGCCAGGCGGCCGCGTGTGCGCGCGCAACTCGCCCTGCTCCCGGGGCCTTTTTCTGGGGCGTCTTGGAAGTTCCCCGCCGGGGCTCGGGGGTGCAAGCCGTCCGCGCAGGAGATGAAGGGCTTGCGGGCTCGCGAGCGGGCCGGGGCGGCGAGGAGTAGATAGGGGGCGCTCGGGACTAGGCGCCCGCGTCCCCCGCGCCCCCCGCGCCCCCGCCGGAAGTGACTCCGAGGAGATCGGGGCGGTGGGGAGACGGGCTCGCCTGATCCCTGTCGCGACAAGTTCGGGATTCCCCCCAGCTTTGCTTGCGCGTCGGGTATCTGTAATGGCTTCCCCGCCCCCCTTACTCCACCCAGTGTGTCCGGGGTCCCTCGTGCGCCTGAGGGACTTTGCCAGAGGCCTTACGCCCGCCCGTGCACACTCGCTCTCCCCAATCTTGGCGCGCCCCCCTCCCCCCCCCCCCCCACACACACACGCCCGCCCGCCTTCCTAATGCCAGTAGACCTTAGGGAAGGCAGCATGGGCAGCTCCAGGCCGGAATGGGCCAACTCCGGGGACAGGGGGTCCGGCTTCTGCGGCCCAGCATTCCGTTCGGGGAGTCCTGTGGGCTTCGTTAGAGCAGCAGCAGTGGGAAGGTGGACCAGGATGCAAAAGCCCCCTTCACCAAGGCACTGCCCCCGGGGAGCTCTATCGTCGAGTATCCTTTCCTGCTCACGTCCATAGGAGGAGACTTGTTCTTCCAGAACAAGTTCAGGATTCCTCAGCTTTAAATATACTTAATTCCCGCCTTTCTGGCCGGTAGCATGACCCCTGCTAATCTCTCCCTCTAAACCCAAATCGAGATGGAACCGGGGGTGGAGGGCAGGAATATGTCTGACCCAAGGCTATTTGGGTGAGCTGCTCTTCGTTGGTCCTCTCTCCGCATCAGTTCATAACAGTGAGACTCCCGTGTGTTCTGGGAACGTCGCTAAGAACTTCGCCTTGTGTCTGGATTCTCTCTCCACGCTCGGTTTGTCTGTTTTCTTCAGACAGGTGGGAACTCTCTTCAGGTATCTGAGGGGTTACCCAGAGAAAGGAGAGATGTGGGGATTCTGAGCTCAAGTTCTTGGAAGAGAATAAAGAGGTACAACATGGTACCCCTCAGGGAAATGAAGTTCCCCACTAAGGAAATAATGAGGGTGTGGGCCTTAGGGATGATTTCTTGTACCATTTGGCAAGTAGATTTGCAAGCCCTCTTGGTGAGGTGGGCCCAAGTCTTGCAGAACCCCCTCCACAGAGCTGAGGTGCAAAGGCTCTTTCGATCTTAGATGACACCTTTTTTTAAAAAAAGATTTTAGTTATATATACATGAGAGAGAGAGAGAGAGAGAGAGAGAGGCAGACATAGGCAGAGGGAGAAGTAGGCTCCCTGCAGGGAGCCCGACCTGGGACTCAATCCTGGGTCTCCAGGATCAGGCCCTGGGCTGAAGGTGGCCCTAAACAGCTGAACCACCCAGGCTGCCCATGACCCTTTTTAACCTTAGTCACTTACTTCACCTGGAATAGGCCAAGACTTAGGTTTTCTGTTTTGTCATAGTCCAGTGACAGGTTAAACATTCCAATAAGAATTCACAAGAAGAGGAAAGGTAGGAAACTTGGTTTCTAAAGCTCCTGTTGCCTCTTCTGAAATGTGTCAGAAAGCAGGAAATCAGTGTATTTTTTGGTAGGAACTGTGGCCCTTCCTCCAGGGTCACAGCAAGCTCCAGAGTATGGCCCCCCAGTTCCTATTCAGAACTGCTCTTTCCTGCTTAAACCCTCATTACAGAATAGATCCGTGGTCCTGGGTCTGTTCTCTGAATTAAGAAGTAGTAACTTTTGGCGGGGGCACCACCTTTGCACCCATCATCTCATCCATCTATGGCAAACCTTTCAGGGATGTAACAGGGCTTTCTGAGATACAATCTGAGGCTCTCAAGTGTGGCTGAACAGACCCTGGAAACTGATGTTGGTACAGGTGTCACTAACTAAATATCCTGTGTTTGCCCACATTATCACACTGCTTTCATTTACCAGTCTGAGCACCTCTAAAGGAAGTCTCCCTGTCTGAACCTCAAAGGGAAATTTATTGGCATTGTTGATACCCAGTCAGGAATAGAATAAAGTCTTCTGCTCCTGCTACTGTAAAAGTCTTCCCTCCCAACAGTCTTTCAAATCTTATTTGTTTAGGAGACTGACACAAACTGAGTACATCAATACGAGATAATTTAAAATGTAAGTTTTTGCATTTAATAATCTATAATGAAATCATTTTCTACTCTCAGATGAGAGTTAAAAGATAGGTAAGGACAAGGTAAATAAGTGCTCTTTCTGTAATAATTAGCTTCTACATGGCCAGCTGTCCTGCCGGAAAAGTTTACCTTGAGCCAGGGATTCTTAAGAAGTGAAAAATAGTCTCTGCTCAGATTTAAATCTGCCTCAGGGTAGTGGGTATGTGTGCATATGTAGAGGTAAATTACATGGTATGGCCCTGTTGACACCACTTTTGCTTTTTTTTTTTTTTTTTAAGATTTTATTTTCATTTATTCACAGACACAGAGAGAGAGGCAGAGAAACAGGCAGAGGGAGAAGCAGGCTCCTCACAGGGAGTCCAATGCTGGACTCCATCCTGGATCCCCTGGGATCAGGCCCTGAGCCGAAGGCAGATGCCCAACCACTGAGCCACCCAGGTGTCCTACTTTTGCTTCCTTGGAAGAGGACTTGGGCATCTGGGTTCACACCCTCCCCTGGTCATCCTTCTCCACATCCCTATCTCAACCTTCTCATATTCTCCTCCTCTTTCTCTGTGAGGCCCACCAATATTCCTGGTTTCATCCATGCTGGCCTCGGCTTTTTCTTCTTTGCAACTCAAAGAAGATCATGGATTCCCTGCTTGCCATATCTCTGCCTCCCTAAAAGTGCTCCAAATGGGTGTTTTCTGCTGAGCTCCCTGTCTTGAGTGTACACCAATATTTCTAACTCCCTTGTGGCCAGATCCTTATGGATAGGTAATAGGCACTTCAAACTCATCTTATATCTAAAAGTGCATCATCTTGCTTCCCAAAGCTACTTTCCCTCTTCCATACTCCCTATCTTGCTAAAAAATACCTTCATCCCCCAGTCTGTTCAGGGCAGAAGTACCTTCCTCTTGCCCTTTGTCCAAATTTCATGAGGCACCAAATGTTACCAAATCTCCTTTCTGATTTTCAATTCCATCACCCATTCTCTATCCATCCATGGTCCCTGCATTAACTGAGGCACCCATCCACTCTGATCTAGATGATTAAGTATTCGGGCTAGACTGTGCCTTGCCACTAAGCTTCCACTCTGTGTGAGAGCTACTTTTTTAAAAAGCACTGTTGTGAGCTTGTCATTCTCCTGTTTTAATTTTTTCCACTCCTTCCCATTCCCTTCTGTTTAAAGTCTACCTTCTTTTGCATGATAGTTCAGAGCAATGGAGGTTAATAGCCAGTAGGAACTCTGCAGTTAGAGAACTGAAATTTGATAGCCTTACCCAAATAACAAGTGTGTGACTTCAGCAGATAAATCTCTGTAGGCCTCACTTTTCTAATTTGTCAAATGGGGACAATAGCATCTTGCTAATAGTGTTTTGGGAAATATTAAAAGTGACAATTCCTGTAAGGAACCTAGCACAATGTCTGGTCCAGAATAAACAATCAGTTAACTTTAGCTACTCTATTAACAGTTATTAAATTTAAAAGATCCCAGTAAGAATATACATTAATACTATATACATTAATATACATCTAGTTCCCAGTATTTCCCAGAGCCTCCCCAGCTTTGACGCTCTGGAGCCAAACAAGTCAGTTCTGGCCGCACAGAATGTCTGTAGTTCCCAAATATACAATGTCTTCACACATTCTGTTTCTTCTATCTAGAATTTCTTTTCTCCTCTTTGTCATAGGCCCAAGAACCCATGCTCATTCTTTAAGATCCAGCCCTACGTAGCCCCCCTTTCCTCCTTCTTCATTTCTTTGGGCCTTCCTCCTTGCCTCTCCCTCGTCATAGACTTACACCCCTTCCTGTATTCTACCCTCAGCCTTAAGCCAGCAGCATTGTTTAGGGTGAAGATCATTTGTTTTCTCTCTTGTTCAGCCCTGTGGCATCAGCACCCAAGCAGTGCCAGGCCTGCCACAGGTAGTCAGGAAATGCTTCACAAGGGAGCTGCCCTTTGACTCTTATAGGAAAAAGTTGGAACAAGATGCCCTAGTTCTTGGGGTCCTTGCAGTTATAGATCAGGAGCAGGTCTGAACTGGACTTCTGCAAAGAACTTCCAAGATCCTTAGGGGGTGTCTTGGAACATGGGGGCAAGAAACTTCCCATGGGCAGGGTATCTGGTACACCTGTTTCTGGTGATAGTAACTGAGAAAAGAGTTCCCTGAGCTATATCCCCACCAACACCCTCAATCTGTTCCTGGATGCAGATGATCTGGGGAGGAATGTCTGTCTTTATATCCCCAAAGACCTCCGATTCAGCCCTGCTAATTGGATTTTTTTTGGGGATGTGATAGGGGGATGGAGGGGTGATCAGGAGCATACAGAGAAGTGGGAAGAAGAGGAGGGATGGCAGAGGAGAGAAGGGGGATAGAAAATGAAGTCCAGAGTCCTTGCTGCTACGAACTAGGGTTGAAGCCTGAGGCCCTTTGCTGATAGGGCCAGGGCTCCTGACCCCTAACCAGGAAAAGACTCTGAAGAGAAAAGACTGGGATCTCTATATCTTCACTTGTAAAGCAGGATCATAATTGCACTCACATTAGTAATGTCATGATGCTGAAAAAACACCACACAAGATGCTTGGAACAGAGCCTTACATGTGGTCATAAATCAGTATTATATTAATTACATTAATATCGAGGATAGAAATGTTAGTGACATTAATATGAATTGATGCAAGTCCAAGTTACAACCATGTCAGGTTACAATCATGACAGATAAAAATTGACGAATAATTTTAAATATACAACCAGCTTCTAGACTGTGTGGCTCAGGCAGTAATAATATCCAGGTCCAGGTTCCTAGATGGTTTATGGCTCATTTTCATGGCTCAACTCTCATCATTCAATTTCACAATAACCCTGGGAGGGAAGAAGGGCTTTAAAAAAAATTTTTTTTTAATTCTTATTGAATACTTGAAGAAACAAAACCTGATGAGTGCAACACACATGGGAATGTGGGTCGCCCAGCCAGAGAATAGCCTTGAGCTTGAGTCTTGTGTTTTGCTTTTCATTTTATATTAGACTAATAGCTTCAGAAGAAAGCAATATATGTAATAGTTACAGAGATACAGTATTACTGTATAGCTATAGTAGCTCTGATTTCTGTTGACTTCAAACTACATTACTACCTACTGCATATTCACCCTCATCTAAAAATCAAAACAAGTTGTACAAATGGATTC